TTTTTGATTGACTAATACTTAGAAACAACTCAGTTTTAATCAGATGCTTGTTGAAAAGAGAAAAAGAATATCTTTCTCAAAATGCATTCTATTTTTATCGCTAAAAATAGGCTTGGGAGTACTAGGGACAGACACCATTTCTCCTTTCTCTATCTAAACGATATGATGTATAGTTTAGTATAGATATATCATTATCATTGATATGTTTAGCAAGCCATGACTCTACAATGGCTACTACAATCGGATTCTCGATAGCAACCAGAGTCTTTAGTTGATCGTATTTAGTAAGTACGTTATTTTTCTTATTTTCCTTATTATTAAAAGATGCAGATGCTAATAAACTACGAATGTTTAAAAGAATGACTATTTCGTTGTGTGTGATCGAACACACAGTCAGTCAATCTATCTGACATCATAAGAAAAGAAAACTCTCAACAGTAGAACGGACCGCAACACGCAAGTAAAAAACAGAAATAAGAAGGGGATATCTTGACGATAAAATTTATCCTGACTCTCAAGCACTCGTCCTCGTCTGTATTGTTGAAGAGAAATAAATAAAATAAGCAAGAAAAAGAAATGACTGGAGCATACGATGACATAGGCCACGTGCCAGCATATAATAGGCCTCTAGCATTCAGATAGAGATGTACATATATGTTGTAGCCAAACTTAAAATTCATTCTCAGCCAAAATTAAAATTTCAAGTTTGGCTAGCCAAAATTAAAATTAGATTCTTGATTTTAATTCTAAATTTGGCTGGTCAAAATTAAAATTTCAATTTTGGCTGAAGATTGTTCAGCCAAATTTAGAATCTGCCTAGCATTCTCAAGCCAAAATTAAAATTTAAGGTTTCACTAGGCAAAAACTATAAATTTTAACTAGAAATTGTCTATTATGTTGTTATTATAAGTTAACTTGTACTGATTTGGGCGAAATTAGAAATGCCTTTAGAAAAAATATATTATATGAAATATATTATACGCAGGCGCAATAACGACAGAACAATGAGATATAACGAATGTACAATGAATGAAATGTGGAAAAGAAACAGAGAAGACGTCAGTTATGAAGAGACCTTTAGTTTCTATATAAACAGCTTTTTCCGCATTCATTATTACATTTAACTGTTTTTTCACTTCTCTATTATAATACTGTTCTTTCAAGTTATTAACTCGTAGTTTATTCAATCATTATGTCATATTCAGATCTATTAGGTGTTCCAAGAGAAGACAGTGGAACACATCTAGACTCTGTTGCACCAGGAAATAATGGTTCGATCGTAGCTTCTGTCGCATTAGCAGACAGTTGTATAGCTTCTTCGGCTAACGCTACTGTAGAATTTACGAAAAAAGCCCTAAAGGGTCATTTCTGTTTATCACACAGCTCTGTCGCGATTATGCAGATGTTCTCAAACTTTTGTCTTTTGGCAAATATGAGTTATAAGCTCTATATGATTTCCCCTGTTGACAAATACAAAGCCTTTTTTACAATATGTTTCATAATAAAATTTTAACATATGAAATCAAATCAATAACTGTCATATTTGGTACCAAAAATTGTACCGGGAAGGTCACAAAGCCAGAAAGTCAGAAGAGCATTACAATTACTGTAAAGAGGTGGCGTTTTGCTATGGTGAGGATGAGTCGTTGGAGAGAAACTGACAATATGAGAAGTATGTTAGAGTCGTGTGGCGTATAAGGCAGTCTGACATCGGACAGCTCTCAGTGAAATACTATAGAAATTGAGATTTACAGATGCCAGTCCTTTATTATCCTAAGAAATGTTAGCCCGTAAAAGGTTTTTTTTAGTCCTTGCGTCCGATTTAGTAATAATGTCATTCGATTCAGCAGTAGCAGCCGTTAAACAAAAAGAAACACAAATTAGTGAACTGATTTGCTGATTAAACTATTATTTTAACCCAACCTTGGAAATTTAATTTATTAAAGTTCTGGAGTTTTAAAACATTCTTTTTGCGCGTATCGTATGAAATAGTTTACGATATATAATCGACTAATCAGATATAATCGACGACTTTATATGAAAGTTTAGATTATCCTTTAAATAATCCCATTTTAAACCAGTCATATAAATCTTATATAGTGAACGTGCTTGAGCAACTACAACAATTTATTCGTTGTCCAATTTTATAATCAGCATTTTTAAAATATTGTGCCTCTTTACAATGTGGACATACTACATGCTGAAATGGTATTTCGCATTCAACACATCTAACACGATCGCCTTGTGTGTACGAGTCATCATACCAAATATTTTCAGCGCTGCAGCGAGGACAATTTATATGTCGATAACTTTTGTTGCACGAACGACATGTTGTTAAAAAACCTGCTGTATGGTTTGAGTTGTACCATACAGCTGGTGCGCTACAATGAGGACAATTAATATGCTGATATTGTTTTTTGCAAGCGTGACAGGTTGTACGCAATCCTGGGCTTACGGTCAGCTTTTACCCAAATGCCAATTCAAATATTACGTCTTTTTTTTTCTCTGATCCGTGATGCTTTCAGTTAAGAAATGGTATTCATAAGTCGTTTTATCCACCACGTGATAGCGAGACCACCTTCAAACATTTGGTTGACTGCAATGTGGACAGTTGATATGTTGGAATTGCTTTTTACAAGTAGGGCATGTAACTTTTAGCCCTGGTTTCCTGTTTGCTTCGAACCACCAGGTTTCCTCTTGGCAATGCGGACAATCGACGTGCTGAAACGGTTTTGAGCAGTAACAACATGTATAACGGAGTCCAGATATATAATCGGCATTTTTCCATACATTCGTTTTGTAGCAATGAGGACAGTCGACTATGTTAAATTTTTTTCCGCAATGACAACGTAAATTAGCACCGTTTCGATAATCCGTCCACGTTCCTCTTTCAGAACAATGAGGACAACTTATTGTTTTGCCTAGAAAATATTATGAGTGATGTAAGAATCAGAAGACAAGCATTTCACAGTGAGTTAGCAAACTTTTCTCATGGTTCGGATAAAAGTTTCTGGCTGTGGATGTAAACCTAGTTAACCTTCTCTACGGATAGCAGTTTATGTACTCATGTTCACTTACTTTTGCCGTTTTGTAATGATTTTGGAGGAGCAGCAGATTTTGGCTTTATGAACTGTGTATTTGTTTTGAAATGAGAACTATCAGATGTCTTTAAATCGTGAAAATGATTGCTACCACTCGTATAGGAAGATGTTTGTTTTGGAGTCGCCCAACTAAACTTTGAATATGCACTTTTCGGCTTCGGTGGGTATAACTTTTGAGATTGAATTTCTTTTAAATGAACAATATGTACCCCCGCTTGATCGAGCGGATCTGTGACAATAACAAGACTTGTACCCGGCATTAAGATGATTTCATCCTCAGATTTAAAACAAGAATATTCAGAGATAGCTTTTCCAGTGTAACACTCAATCATAAATAGCGTGTTATCAGTGTACTTGTTCAGAAAGTTTTTGATGACATCAACTTTTGCTGAACAGGATGAGAAGCCGGCCCATATGAATTTTATGCCTTCTTTGTACTCTCTACTAATATTCCCTGGTACTCCTCTCCAAGTCGGTTTTTGTACAGATGGTAGCTTATTTAAAGCTGTACAGAGAAGTTTTAAATATGGATACCATGGTACGATATTTACATCAGATCGAGATCGAAGTGCCTGATTTAGAATTCGATAAACACTACGACTATTAGATGGTTCCATCGTATATAAATAAATTGCTGCTGATTCATCTTTGGTCATAATAAGAGAGAATTTACAGTATTTTTTGGCTGCTGCAACATTATCGGGAAGATTATTGACAAGATGGGTGACAGATAACGTAGCCGTTTCTAAACTAACTAACACTGCATGTTTATAGCCATCGCGCGGCGCTGAGTAGGAGATGGGTTCGAGATCTGAATATCTCAAACTCATTATGTTTTCGACAAACGACTAAAAAGATAAAAACAACTTTTAACATGAGAACTTACATTGAAAATAACAAATATGCCCTGAAGCAGATTATGCTCACAAGGGACTACTATCCGTTTCAAAACACCGTGCACTTGGTTGTTCTGCATAAAACCTTTGACACATATTTCTGTAAGCTTCCGAATTCCGAAAAACCTTTTGAAGCACATTTTTTAGAGGATCTCTGGAAAACTAGCTTCGGTTTTCCGGAACTTACATAGGCATGTATTCACTTTTTCTCATGGGCTGATAGCCCGGAGTGTTCTCTTCAAAATGGAAGTAAAGTGTGACGTGGACTTTCCGCGGTTCGGGCGTTGTATCGACTTTGCTACGAGTTCCAGGAGTGGCATCCGATGGATGGACTATGGATAATCAACTATGCTGAGTCTCGTGGTAATACTTGTTTTTAGAAAAAGTTTTAAAAATCTACCGAAAAGCCAGTTTTTCGAAAATTAGGGTTTTCAGGCTGTTTACACCTAATATTAAAAAATTCACTGTTCACTCAGAAAACATCAGAACAAGTTAAGAACTTCAGAATGTGGAGTATTTAAGCTATTCTATATCGTGTTTATAGAAGATCCCGAAACAAATTTTAGAAAGCCCTAAGGTTTTGCAAAAGGGTTGTGGAAAAGCTATTAACAAAACCGTGCTTTTCGATCTTTTCGACCTTATAATCAAGTTTAGCGGACAACATTAATCATATCCTGAGATTTTGAGCTTGTTCTGATGTTTTTTGAGTGAACAGTGAATTTTTTAATATTAGGTGAAAACAGCCTGAAAACCCTAGTTTTCGTCGCGATAATTTTCAGTCCACCCATCGAAAAACGTCACCCTTCTCCTTTCTGATTTTGTTTGTCTTTTAGACTAACGGTGCGGTGGATACATCATAAACCTTTGACACGGGTGGCAGTCTTTAAGCTCGGTACGAGATGAAACATATTAATGTCTTCTTTTAGCCTGGGAAGCTGTTTTGAACTCGTTACGATTTCAAAACTATGTTATGTTCTAATATAGTATAGAGGAGGCTGGGGAGGCTGTTTTGAACTCGTACGAGTTTAAAAACATGATGAGAGTGAATGGACATGAACACCACGGTACCAAGTTTTTAAACTCGTACGGGTTGAGCAGTGCCTCCCTTGTACTATATTATATATATTAACATAACACAGTTTTGAACTCGTAACATGTTTTTAAACTCGTACGAGTTCAAAACAGCCAATAGTAGATGTATCCGATTTTGATGTATCCAATTGTATCCTCCTTTTGACTACAGTTGAATATAGCCTTAATGAATCATCGGCCGATAGATATATCATGATATATCGAAGATAACCATACAGTTGGATATATCGGAAAATAAGTGCTAACGATTTTTACACCTTACTTTTTTTATCTCGGATACATCCCACTATATCTTTTCTCAAAAAATTTTTGACTGGATTGAATTACGACTAACACTTGCCAATCGGACTGTGATCACTCACTAAGATGTGACAAGATTTTGAAAATGATTCGAAAATCAGTGGGAGTTATATACTAGGCGGCTAAACAAAACAAAACGGCGAATAGGATTTGCACGAGAGTCGCATCGTGATCCTGTATCATATCATGATAGTAAGAGAAAAACGCGATCTCGACATGATTTTGAAAGTCATTTAAAGCAACTATCTCAACACAAGTCAGTACAGCGAGTCCCTGTGCAACTTTGCGATCCGAGCGTGCGATCGAGTAAAAAAAGCTGTCGTGTCGCGATCGCGAGCTACAAATTTTTTGAAAAATAATAGTTCATTGCGATTACGAAGTGAGAATCGCGATCGCGTCTTAAATGAAGTAAGAAAGTGAAGTTAGGGTTCCTTGTTTTGCTGTACAATAATCAAATCTGGAGCAATAATGTCACTAACGTTAGTCGATGCACTTTAATTTATTCTATCAGAATAGATAGGTTTTTATTTTCAAAATACTGTGAAAGTTAGTATATTTGATAGTTCAATTTGTCTTTATTACTTCGTTGCGAAATAGTGGCACGGGTAGAAACAGCCCACCGCCTAAAAAAATCTATGGCAGCAATGGACATCTATGATGAATGCGTGTGGTCCAAAAACTTCAGATCAGAACAGGTTAGCACAGCATGGGTGTTGGGCGTAGATTTTTCCGTTATCTGTAGTTGACATGTTTAACCCTTTACACCCCCTTGGGTCATTTTTGGCCCATTCGTAGAAA